ATGTAAGGGATTTACTGTATTAATAGTTAGCTTCATTAATGGTAATAATTTATCAATCATTATCAGAGAGAAAAGGTAAGAAATGAATAAGGATATGAAGGAAGATGGAAAGGAAAATCCCATATCTTCATTTTTATATAATTAATCTAATGGTAAAGAACTCACTGACCAATGCAGGAGACTCAAGAGACATGGGTTCAATCCCTGGGTCAGGAAGATTCCCTGGCAGAGGGCATGGATATCCACTCCAGTATACTTGCCTGGAGAATCCCATGGACAGAAGCCTGGTGGGCTATGGTCCATAGGGTCACATAGAATCAGACACAACTGAAGTGACTTAGCATGCATGCCCTATTACCATAAAAATCGTTTAACATAACTTTTGCCCACATTTCAGACTATTTACTTGTAACTGATACTCAGAACAGGAATTACTATATTTATAGATTAGGAATTAATTATTTTTCAGAAATATTACATTTTTTACCATATTGCCATATAGCACCTGGAAGTCTATCTGTTCTCCTATGAATCACTCAACCTTCTTGAAAAAGGAAAAGGAAAAAATAAACCTCTCTTTCACTACACTCCAGGTCCAGGTTACTGTCTCTCCCAGGAATGGCAGGGTTGTTTTCCAGGCAGAGGAGACATCTGTGCCGATGGCTCCTTTCAATCTCTACCCCTGGCATTTTCCAGGGCTGACTGCTGGCCCTCCACTCAAGTAGACATTATGTATAGTCTCTACATAGTCCTCTATGTAGTCCTTGGTGGGTGCTAGCCTTCTGAATTTCAAATACTTAAAAATTAACTTTTACCAAAAAAAGTCCAAGGTCAAATCATAGTCCACTCACTATATCAGTGCACTTGTCCAACACATGAAGGTTTCAGCTTCTTACATGGATGTTGATCAGTAGCTAAGTCATGTCCAACTCTTTGCAACCCCATGAACTGCAGCACGCCAGGTTTCCCTGTCCTTCACTGTCTCCCAGAGTTTGCTCAAATTCACGTCCATTGAATCAATGATGCCATCCAACCATCTCATCCTCTACCACCCTCTTCTCTTCCTGCCCTCAGTCTTCCCAGCATCAGGATCTTTCTCAGTGTGTCGGCTCTTCACATCAGGTGCCAAAGTACTGGAGCTTCAGCTTCAGCGTCAGTCCTTTCATTTAATATTCAGGATTGATTTCCTTTTGGATTGACTAGCTTGATTACCTTGCTGTCCAAGGGACTCTTAAGAGTCTTCTCCAGCACAATTCAAAAGCATTGATTCTTCAAAGCTGAACCCTCTTTATGGTCCAACTCTCACATCTGTACATGACTATTGGAGAAACTGTAGCTTTGACTATACAGACCTTTGTCAGCAAAATGATATCTCTGCTTTTTAATACACTGTCTAGGTTTGTCATAGCTTTTCTTCAAAGGAGCAAGCATCTTTTAAAATTTTATGGCTGCAGTCACCATCCACAGTGATTTTGGAGCCCCAAAAAATAAAATCTGTCACTGTTTCCACTTTTTCACCATATGTTTTCCATGAAGTGATGAGAACAGATGCCATGATCTTAGCTTTCTGAATGCTGAATTTTAAGCCAGCTTTTTCACTCTCCTCCTTCACTTTCATCAAGGAGCTCTTTAATTCCTTTTCACTTTCTGCCTTTAGAATGGTATCTTCTGCATATCTGAGGTTGTTGGTATTTCTCCCAGCAGTCTTGATTCCAGCTTGTGATTCATCCAGCCTGGCATATCTCATGGTGTACTTTGTATATACATTAAATAAGCAGGGTAACAATATATAACCTTGATGTACTCCTTTCCCAACTTGGAACCAGTCCATTGTTCCATGTCTGATTCTAACTGTTGCTTCTTGTCCTACATACAAGTTTCTCAGGAGACAAGTAAGGTGGTCTGGTATTCGCATCTCTCTTTAAAAAAATTTCCACAGTTTGTTGTGATCCACACAAAGGTTTTAGCATTGTCAATGGACCAGAAGTAGACTTTTTAAAATTCCCTTGCTTTTTCTATGATCCAGTGGATGTTGGCAATTTGATCTATGGTTCCTCTGCCTTTTCTAAATCCAGCTTGTACATTTGGAAGTTCTCAGTTCACGTATTGTTGAAGCCTAGCTTGAAGGATTTTGAGCATTACCTTGCTCAGGTAATATCAATCGCTATCAGGTTCCACTTTGTAAGCATGCAGTTTACAGGATTACCACAAGGCGGCAGAGCTGGGAATGACAAATTTCTGGAAGGTAGGGTCAAGTAAAACTTAAGGGCTTGGTATTTTTTAAATGATCACAATATTGTTTTCATATTTAAATATCTTAGAATGGTCTGTTGATGAAGACATCAGAATTTCATTGTTTGAACTATAAATAAATAAGTTACAATAGAAATACAGATAGATACTAAAGAAATAGATTAGGTAGATTTAAGGATGTATTGATTGTGATAGATGAATATATGGATACATAGATACAGAGACACAATATGTATATATAAGGGGCTTTTAAAATGTGCTAAATCCCTTTCCTTTTATTACATTTCAGCTAGTCACCAAATGATGTTTCAGGGAGAGAAAGAGATTGTTGTTACAGGAAATAAAGAGAAAGTAGGAGTCATCATTCAACTCTAGCCCTCCAAAATACAATTTTGGAGACCCAAGAAGAAAATACATAATTTAGAAAGACGAAGCATTTCTAAACTTCACATTTTTCCCCTTTGTATATTGAGGGTTTGATTTGGTAAGATTCTGAGCACAACTGTTTTATAAACCATATCTAAAGAAGATACAAAATATAATTTAAAGGAACTGCCCCAGACAGAAAAGTGGAAGTGAAAGCACTAGTCGCTCAGTCACTTTGCCACCCCATGGACTGCAGCCCACCAGGCTCCTCTGTCCATGGAATTCTCCAGGCAAGAATACTGGAGTGGGTTGCCATTTCCTCCTCCAGGGGATCTTCCAGATCCAGGGATCGAACCCACGTTTCCCAGTATTACAGGTGGATTCTTTACCACTGAGCCACCCTGGAAGCCCGTGCCACCATTGTACTGCTCATGAAACCATCTTGCCATCTGTGCACTGTCATGAATTAAGTTGTGTACTTGCTCATTTTGCTTTATAATCTGGAATATACTTGGTAAAACTTCTGTGTCTAATTCAACCCCATATCCCCAATGTCCAGATAATTTAAAATGCCAAATGATGTCTGGTAAATAAATGAATGAATGCTACTGAGAGGTGTTTACACAAATCCTCCCTATCAAAAAGAATTGTTTTGAAAACATAATTCAACTTGCTGTAAGCGCTTAACAGCACAATGCAATTTGCATCATTTGTTATAATGACATTTCAATACTATTAAATGGTATGAGCTATGGTATGAGTTCACTACAACTTTGACCTTTCTGCAATGAATGCAGTAAATTCCAATAACCAGAAACAATGGCAGCTCCATTTTCAGAGCAGTGCTGAGACAGCCAGTTCTAAAACTGCAGAAATGCAGCAAGTATCTGTGTATCCAAAGATACAGTTGACAGACCAGAGCTCACTGACAGTGAAGACCGTGAAGTCTCATGTTCTTGTCTTAATCAGATATGGCCAAGAGGGCAGGCTGTTGAAATATTTACCATTTGTCACATTTTCAATCCAAACCACACATGACTGTAACAGGAAGAAAATTTTGTTATAAAAAACATTTCATTCAACAGTTTCTATATTGAGAAGTGCAGAAGTAAAGAGCAGAGAGAATTCTGTTCTTTAACTTAGGGCAACTTTAACTGGCCTGGTGGATTGTAAGGCAGTACAGTATGTTACAACAACATTGTAATGTAGCAATATTATTCCCAGTTTGCACATTAGAAAATGGAAGTTTAAGATGCTAAGTTGATCTCTGGTGGGAATGCAAACTAGTACAGCTACTATGGAGAACAGTGTGGAGATTCCTTAAAAAACTGGAAATAGAACTGCCATATGACCCAGCAATCCCACTCCTGGGCATACACACTGAGGAAACTAGATCTGAAAGAGACACGTGCACCCCAATGTTCATTGCAGCACTGTTTATAATTGCCAGGACATGGAAGCAACCTAGATGCCCATCAGCAGACAAATGGATAAAGAAGCTATGGTACATATACACAATGGAATATTACTCAGCCATTAAAAAGAATACATTTGAATCAGTTCTAATGAGATGGATGAAACTGGAGCCCATTATACAGAGTGAAGTAAGCCAGAAAGATAAACACCAATACAGTATACTAACGCATATATATGGAATTTACAAAAATGGTAATGATAACCCTATATGCAAAACAGAAAAAGAGACACAGATGTACAGAACAGACTTTTGGACTCTGTGGGAGAAGGTGAGGGTGGGATGTTCTGAGAGAATAGCATTGAAACAAGTATACTATCAAGGGTGAAACAGATCACCAGCCCAGGTTGGATGCATGAGACAAGTGCTCAGGGCTGGTGCACTGGGAAGACCCAGAGGGATGAGGTGGAGAGGGAGGCGGGATGGGGAATACATGTAAATCCATGGCTGATTCATATCAATGTATGGCAAAAACCACTACAATATTGTAAAGTAATTAGCCGTCAACTAATAAAAATAAATGAAAAAATTAAAAAAAAAAAGAATACTGTAGTGGGTTGCCATGCCCTCCTCCAGGAGATCTTCCCGACACAGGGACTGTACCTGCATCTCTTATGTCTCCTGCATCGGTAGGCAGGAAGCCCAATAGAATTCTAGGACCTTTCAATAAACTGCTTTTTCTATTTAAAAAAAAAAAAAAAGATGCTAAGTTGATCTCTTTCCTGGGGAAGTTATTAAGCATCCTTGCATGAGCAACATTCCCTCAAGACCAATCAGTGGCTAAATTACAAAATAGTTTTGACTTAAAAATTATTTATATAACTTTAAAAGGAAATAATTAATTGAGATATTATACCAAACTATTGGAGACCCACCTCACCATCTGTGTTCCTTGCATGGATGGTACCAGGATTAGTAAAGGCTCCTTCACCAAAGACCACTTCATCACAAGGGCATGAAGGAAAGAGGAAGGTCATGAGCTGGCTGAGGTCCAGCCCATTATCCTTGTTCAGCCCTTTGCAGCCTATGATCAGCAACATCTAACAAAGAGCTTGGCCCTGAACTGACCTCATTCATTTCTCCACAGGTCCAGCATCAGATGCCCAGAGACAGACCAGACCAAAGCTACTAAATCAAAGACAAGCAGATTCTAAGTGGAGAGCACACAGACCAAGGACCCTTCCCCACTGCCACTGGAGAGTAAGAAACCCCCTTGTCCCAGACACCATCTTGGAAGGACAAACAATGAAGATGTCTGCTGAAAAATCAATTTCAGCAGGGAGTGTGAACCTAGAATCAGAGAGATAATTATTACTGAAGGAGTCAGAGACACTCCAGCCAAAAGAATCACATAGAAAATGCCTTCAAATCCTACTCAGGGAGGGTCAAATCACGTTCAAGCTTCTCCAAGGCGAGAAAACACTGGCAGCACTGCTATCGAGAGTTGTACTGAAGGATGTGGCATAGATAGTAATACTCATCAAATAGTTATTTTTCTAGTCCTCGATGATTCATTCTGGCCAATGAATCATGGGTGGTATAAACTGTGTCACTTGTAAGTGGAGGCATGAAAAGTCTGAGTATGACTCTCTAGTGTCTCTCTTTCCTGCCCCAGAAATTTTTAGCTCATTTTGTTATGTGCCACTTAATCTCCCAAACCAGATTTCAAAGAGACCGGCTCTTCTATAATTTAATAGATGCTCAACTAATGTCAGGGGGGCTTCCCTCACAGCTCAGTTAGTAAATCATCTGCCTGCAATGCAGGAGACCCAGGTTCAATTCCTGGGTTGGGAAGATCCCCTGGAGAAGGAAATGGCAACCCACTCCAATATTCTTGCCTGTAGAATCCCACGGACAGAGGAGCCTGACAGGCTACAGTCTACGGGATCACAAGAGTTGGACACAACTTAGCGACTAATACACCACCACCACAACTAATGTCTATTGAATGACTGAATGGCACTGTGCTAGACATTGAAAAGAAATTCCCTTAAATAAGAAGGAATATTTTTAGGACATTACTTAGGTTATTGCTATTTTCACTTTAAACATATAAGATTTCAGGGGCTTCCCTGGTGGCCCAGTGGTAAAGAATCCACCCTCCAATGCAGGAGACACAGGCTCTATCCCTGATCAAAAGGTCCCACATGCCTTGGAGCAACTAAGCCTGTGCTCTAGAGCCTGTGAGCAGTATCCGCTGAGCCCATGAGCTGCAACTACTGAAGCCCACGTGTGCTACAGCCCGAGCTCTGCAACAAGAGAAGCCACTGCAATAAGAAGCCCGTGAGAGCAGCCCTGCTCGCTGCAACTAGAGAAAAGCCTGTGCAACAATGAAGACCCAGCACAGTCCAAAATAAAAATAAGTAAATAATTATTTTTTTAAAAAAACATAGGATTTCAGCAATTAATAAGGCAAATTTAATTTTCAAAAACAAGCAGCTTGTTGCTAATATAACAACCAATTCTGCAAATCTCAGGCTCGAAAGATATACAAGACAAACCACAACATACCAGAAGGTGGCGGCCATGTGGCTTCTTATTAAGTCTTATCAGATCTGATAGAGGAGACAGGATATTTATATGTGATTTATCATTTGGCTGCTTTTCAAGTAAAAACCACACAGGAACATCACAGGAAGAAAACCTGCAATTAAAAAAGTACTGCAGCCTCGTCTATATGACATCAGGAAGAAGATGAGCAGGAAGAGTTCTTTTGCTTAAAAATGAAAACAGCTTCATTAGTCTTTCAGTTTACGAGAGGAGAGCCCTCTGGATCTGATCTCGAAGGATGCCGTAGATCCCAGACAGCGCAACTGCTCTGCACAACCAGTCAGAGGAGGAGCAGGAGGGTCAGGCTATAGAGACAGGATATATTAGTCCTAACAGATTGCTAGGATTTTCCCAGGAGACTCAGCGACCCAAGAAGTCTGGACCTCCCTGATCTGTAACTTATTGCTGATTTCCCAAAGCAGAAGGTATTAACTCAGGTCATGTAGCAGGATGTAGCTTTAACTGTGAGAACAGAAGGAAAGAAATCAAAGTATGAGAGAGGGCCAGGAAACAGGGGCTTTGAGGCATCCATCCAAGTAAGACTGCAGAGACAGACAACCTTATAGAGAAGTTAATAATTAATTAGTTAATTGATTGATTGGCTCTATCGTCTGGATTTCACAGATGTTCATAATCAAATACAGGAAGTTTGGGTTCTTTTTTTAAAAAAATGATACTTGTTTTGAAGTCTCATATCCCTTTTTTATAATTTATTTATTTGGGGTTGTGCTGGGTCTTTGTTGCTATGTGATTACTTTCTCTAGTTGCAGTGAGAACTCTTCATTCTGGTACACAGGCTTCTCATTACAGTGGCTTCTCTTTGTAGAGCAGAGGCCCTAGGTCACCCAGGCTTCAGTTGTGGCATTCAGGTGCAGTTATCCATGGCATGTGGAATCTCCCCAGACCAGGGATTGAACCTGTGTCACCTGCATTGGCAGGCAAATTCTATTCCTCTGTACCACCAGGAAAGTCCAGTTTGAGTTCTTTTTGGCTATGAATTTGCATGACTTTCCAAATTTTAGAAAACAGAGTGGCTGGTAAGGCTTTTCTATACGGACTTTTCCAAAATTTGGTAAACTGTAATATTTATATATAGTAACAAGAAACCAACTTAGCTTCCAAAGCATTCAGTAAAATTACCAAGAATACGCCACCATGCCATCCACACTCTTAGCAGAAAGGTATTTGTGGGGTTTGGGGGAGACAGTCAGGGAGATTTAGCACAAAGAATTATGGGTGCTAAATATCACTTTCCAGAGACAAAGAGCTACAAGGACAAAGAAAGAATCAAGATATTGAAACCCAGAAGAGAGTGAATTATAGAATCCAACTAGAAATCCAGAATCATCTTTTATATGAATTTACCAGAATAATTCCTATAGGACTCTTTTAATTAATTTTTATATGAATTTAGCAGAATGATTCCTGTAGGAATTTTTATATGAATTTACCAGAGTGATTCCTGTAGGAATTTTTCCCATAAGAGAGAGTGGAAGAGAAAGCCCATGGAAATCCTCGCATCACACAAAATACATGTTTTAAAGAAAGTGGTATTCCTCAAGTAGAAGGAAGGCAAATGCATGAATGGTATGGTTAATATGGACAGACTGCAGCTAAAACTGAATCTGCCTCCTCCCACCATAGGACGATGGGCTGCAGCCTGGGTAAACAACACAACCAATGAAGCACCTGTACCAAACCTCATCAATACCAAAAGCTCAAGATTATTTAGAGGATGGTAGGAAAAGTGTCAAGTGAGAAGTAAGAAGAATATAAACTGTGTTACAGAAATGGAGTGTTTTAGTCCCTGGAACACAGATTACTGTGAAGAACTTCGCTCTGTCCTAAGAGTGCTTCACTGGAAGAAAGTGAGGAATTTTGGAGGAGGCTAGGGTGAGGAATCCACCCTAGCTTTCTGGAACCTGCATGGCTTAGGACCAAATCCATTTCCTGATGCCCTGAGGATTTCTGAATTATTTTCTGGTGAGATTCTCCAGATGCAATCCACTCTGGTCTCCATACTAAGGAGATTTACCATCATAACACTTTAAGGAGGAGGCCAACACTTCACCTTCCAGTACTTCAATGACTTCTGTCTCACCCATGAAGAGAGGATCTCTGACCCTAGATGCCCCTTCAGCCATTGTCTCTATTCATTGATTCTTTTATTTTAATTGAGCTACAATTAACATATAATAGTATGTTCATTTCATGTGTACAACATAATCATTTGATATACAGCCATCTCCCCTTATTCTCAGAAGATACGTTCCAAGACCCCCAGAGAATACCTGACACCATGGACAGTATCAAATCCTATTACAAACTGCTTTTTCCTATACATACCTATGTGTGATGAAATGATGAAATTTAATTTACAAATTAGGCACAGTAAGAGAATATCGGATTTGCAAGCATCATTATTCTTGTGCTGCGGGACCATTATAAGTAGCATAAAATGAAAGTTGCTCAGTCATATCTGACGCTTTGCAACCCCATCAACTTAACACAGCCCATGAAATTCTCCAGGCCAGAATACTGGAGTGGGTAGCCTTTCCCTTCTCCAGGGGATCTTCCCAACCCAGGGATCAAACCCAGGTCTCCCTCATTGCAGGCAGATTCCTTTTTTTTTTTTTTTGCAGGCAGATTCTTTTCCAGCTGAGCCACAAGGGAAGCCCAAGAATACTAGAGTGGGTGGCTTATCCCTTCTCCAGCACATCTTCCCGACCCAGGAATCAAACCGGGATCTCCTGCAGTGCAGGTGGATTCTTTACCAACTGAGCTTTCAGGGAAGCCCTTAAGTAACATAAGGGTTACTTAAACACAAGCACAGAGATGCCCAGACAGTCAGTTTGGTAACTGAGGATGGTTGTTAAGCGATGAATGGTGAGTAGCACCTACAACTGCATACACTGAACAAACGGTTGATTCATACACCAGGTTGGAGGAAGGAAGAAGGTGCAAGATCTCATCACCCTACTCAGGACAGTGAATAGTTTGCAACTTATTAATTTATTTATGGGATTTTCCATTTGCTATTTTCTGGTGATAACTGAACCACATAACTGAACCACCAGAAAGGGAAACTGCAGGTAAGAGGGGATTACTGAATGCATATGTTACAAAATATTTAGCACCAGTGTTAACATCCATCACACTATAGTTGCAGTTTTTTTCTTGTGATGAGAACTTCTGAGATCTACTCTCTTAGCAACTTCCAATATACAACACAATATCATTAACTATATGCTAATAGTCACCATCCAAATCCATGGGGTCCTCAGCCCTCTTAAGCAGCGTGACTAGCCCAGTAAAACCTCCATACCCAGGCTCTCAATACCCAGAATCTTCTGCTCCTTGCAGTATAACATTTCCCCATCCTAAAACAAAATAGGAACTCTTTTTTTCCAGTTCTTTAGACATATAATTGACATATTTGTAAGTTTAAGATATACAGCATGATAATTTGATACACGTAAATATTGCAAAA